CTTTTGTCCCGAGAAGTCCGCTTAGGTTATAGCCCTTATTTACGGTTTCCCTGCCTTTACGTAGAATGTTTGTGTATTTGGCTCATTTATGCTGTAACTATCAATGTGCACCGTTTATTGTTTTTACAGTTTTGAAAAGTCAAAAGTAAGGTTTGCCGACTACTCTCTGCAAATCGACTACCGATGTCATTAAATAACTTTAGTGAAATCTACATATCGCATCTCTCAGCCAGTGCCATGAAGCCTCCGGGCCCGCTCTATTCCATTATTGGGTTTAAACCATTGACACCACGAAGCCTAAGAAATGATGAAACCATTGACACCACGAAACCTATGAAACCATAGACACCACGAAACCTATGAAACCATGAAACTATTGACACCACCAAACCTATGAAACCATGAAACCATTGACACCATGAGACCTTTGAAACCATGACTCCATGATACTATCATTATATGACATAGACATTGGCATATACTAATTAGCATAAATTCGTGCACCGTAACACCAAGTTGTAACCCATTATTGCTCCTGGTTTTTTTCAGGAAGAGCAACGCAAATGAACGTCTGTCACTAATTTCCATTTTAGAAAATTTCTGCCAAATCAAAAACGTACATGGGAAAGAAAAATAATTTAATAATTTTGTAGAAAAAAAATGTACTTAGGAAAATTGACCTTGTTTCTTGCCACGCTTGGATAGACTGTAAACTGTTAACACTGGCCACAAGATACTCCTGTCGCTATAAGGTTTCTACAGTAATAATTCACAATTTACTTGGCCCGCAAACAGCAAAAGTCAATACAATATAAAGAAACCAAAACAAGTGAAAATATTAGAACATGGTGAAATAGTCGTCTCCAATTCTGATTTACTCCGAATAATAATAGGAAAGAAAGACGCAGAGTTTACTAATAATTAAACTTAAAAGCGAATGCGGGCCTCTTATTCTAAAATGCGTCAGGAGATCTATCAAATTTTGCTCCAACAATGAGACACAGCTGAGAAATGTGTTAAATCAGATCAGAAATTTGTCATTATATTCCCCCACCTTGTCCCATTATTCCTCTTGGTTTTATACTCAGATACAGAAAGCCAAATAAACGTCAAATTTCTCGAGAAATGAGAATGAGAAAAAGCGAAACTACGACCGGCGAGTTATTGATGTCGAGCATGGCTCCTCAGTGCTCTCGTGTTCTCGCCATATCGCTGGCAGAGAAGCGGAATGATTCACTGAACTGGAGCCCTAGCTGAAGTTATAAGCGAAGAAGCAAATGAAGTATAGCATCGATCGTAATTCATTTGCTAAGCTGAGAGAAAAACCTCATCTTCAAACTTGTTAAGATTAGCAGTTTTATGTGTAAGAGGTTCCAGAACAATTAAAAACGAGTTAAACACTGACATTTATTGCGGGGAAAAAATCACAAATGTGATCGGAAAAGTAATTTAAGTATTAAGCACGTTTTTTTAAAGCATTCATTATAGAGTATTTTTAACCCCAGTCTTGGACTTATTAAATATATTCCACAACAGTTCTTTATGGTTGTATACATCTTAGGCGCTATTCAGTGGATTTGAAGTAACCTGTGATCAGGCCCAATTTAAGCAGTTCTCATACATTCTCTCTTACGTAGTCCCGCTGAATGTTATTTACAAAGAGAAACGAAAATGGAGCCTGATCTCAGGTTAGATTTGAAGTTATACTAGGAAGAAAGCTACGCTGCTAGCAGAGTCGCATCGATATTTCACTTAAAGAAAAGTCGGAAAGGGAGAAGCGAGGACTCTGCCGACATCTTCAAAGTCCTATGATTTGCCGATCATCCCGCGATTTGGATGGGTCAGTCAAGTTTCATGTACTGGACTAATTAGAAAACGTGTATCCGGTGCAGAACCTCGCACAGCTCGGGGGAGGAACCTAGTAAAATGTTAGGGATGTTTGGGGTAGCTCTGGCGTTCAGAGCTAGGATTCGATTTTTTTGCTTTTACGCAATAATGCTTGACAAAGAAACTTGAAGGAAAGACTGTTGATTCCTATTCTTCATATGTTATCTTGTTTGGTTTCTATATACGGCAAAATCTGAATTCAGCAGCAAACTTTGTGTTTATACATCAAAGATTGGACTCCCGTGGCCTCGCGTGGTTCCGGTGTTACAATACCGGGGTCTCTTTTGTTCGACAAATATTCGTCTCTTCACAATCCGAGTTTGAATAACATATATAAAGTAGCGATCCCGGGCCAGACACTGTTTCGTTAATACAGTTGGAGAGAGCTGTCCCACAGGCTTCACAGCCCCCATCCAAAGCCTAAGCCAGGACATTTAATTCAAAAACTCGACGGCCGCTAAGTAAAAAACCACTGCAGACTTTGGGATCACGCACATTTTTCTCATTTTCTTGTTTTTGGATAGCAGACCTGGAGGCTGTCAGCTAATATGTGGCATTATTATTGCGAATAAAAGCTTTAGCTCTGCAAAAGCTGCCCTTGTTTGTTCTTTTCGCAGGAAAGAACCGCCGCCATCTCGGGTGTCGCAATATTATGCTCAGTAGAGGGTGCGCAGTGCAAAACAAGGGAATTTCCTTTTACACTGACAATCACAAATTTGATCGGAAAAGTAAAGTAGGCACGTTTTTTTTTAAGCGTTGTATAGAATATTTTTAACCCCAGCCTACGACATTTACATATATTCCACAACAGTTCTTTATCTATGGTTGTATAGAGATTTCTTGATTCTTTAGCAGCGCACCCCCGCTTGCAACGGCCTTTTTTTTTTTTGTAAATTCCATTTTTGGCATTTTTAGCCAAATTTAAAATGTGGGAAATCGAAACAAAATTGCAGAAAAAATCGACTTGTTTCTGTTTCGCACCGCGAGTTTGGGTACTATTGGCGGTTTACATTTTGCCTTCATATCATCACCCAAACATTCCATTGAGACTGGTGCTGAGTTGATAGGTTCTTTTGGCGCCATCAGTTTTTCAAGCTATCTGACAAATACGGGCCCTTGCCCTCTGGGGGAAAAATGTTTCTAACACCGCGGTATGTAGCTTCTTTATGAGTCAGGTAACTCGGTAATCTATTTGAAATTAGCTCTATGCGTTAAGTGGCGTAAGGTTTGATTATCTTGTTGCAAATGTGACTATTTTTCAGTAACCTGTTCAAGCATTTATTTCTAGCCATAGCTATTCTTCCAACAAAGTACGGTGAACTATGGATTTTCATAAAAAAAAATAACATTACAATGCGAGTAAAGCAAGTCGGATCTAGAATCAATGCAAATTCTATCAACAGAGAAGGAATGCCAAACATTGTCTCTAGGTAGTGCTCTGCCGCTCAATAAAGGGGCAAGATAAAACTCGAACCATTGTGTTTCCGCTAATGACATTTAACAATAAAAATGGTGAAAGATGATCCTTGTGAAATTATGTTTTTAATTGTTAAAATGGTCATTTCCGGCCTATTTAACTATTTTTCGCATGTTTGAAACCTTTTAAAAGCCCTTTTTTTTCAATTCTGCTCCCTGAATAAATCGAAAAGGTAGAAAAAAATAGTACTGTTTGCTGTGTGGCAGTGAAGTTCACGCCACCTAGTCTAGACGACTCCATCACCATCTTGAAGCCATGGTAAATAGTTATGTACTGGCGAAAATTTCGGATAAATTAAAACACAATTGCCGAAAACAAAATATAATAATAATAATAATAATAATAATAATAATAATAATAATAATAATAATAATAATAATAATAATAATAATAATAATAATAATAATAGTAATAATACAGTCACTCTCTCTATGACGGACAGCTTTGGGGCCAGCACTGCGTGTCGGCTTCTTAGAAAGATGTCCGTCTTAAACCTTTTACTGCCAGAGTGTTTGATGGAGTTTTGTAAGATGACTCAACTTTTGAGTCTGAGGGCGAAATCCTATGATGTCACCATTCAAATGAAAGCTCTCTGCCTGTACTTACACGCGGTGCTATTTGTTATTTAAAATTTCACAAAAATGCTTTTGGCCAAATTTGGCAGTGAAAGGATTAAAGAAAGTCAAATACAGTGTATAGGGAGTAAATGTCCGTTAAGAGAGAGAGTCGACTGAAAAAACCTTAAAACGCCTTTCAGCCAGACAACTAGGAGGAAGCGTGTTTCACTTTTAAAAGAGAAAAAGCTTAATTTAGACAAAAATCTTCGTATTGTTTAGAAAAAAAGGGGAAAGGAAAAAAGAGAAAAACTAAGAAAGAAAACATGAAAATTGTCATTTCTAATGTCTATTCGTGACCAAACCAGTTTCTCTGTTCGTGCTTGATGAATTATTAATTAGATTTAAGCTCTGACAAAAACTCGGAAGTTGGTTTATGAGACTTTTTTCACACTCCTAAAGCCATTATCTTTTGTGGCCGCAGTAGTGTAAGCTAGTTGCAGGCGTCCGACATCTGGTCTATTTCGGTTCTTCTGTTTAATTTCTTTTTTGGCCTCCTGTTTCGGTTAGGGAAAAGCAATCGAGAAATCTAAGCAAAAGAACATGAATCTTGACTCCCTCACTCGGCTTTTTACGGAGTGATCATATATTCTATTCAGTTGATATCGATACACATGTTAAAAGCCTTGTGATTTTTTCAGTTTTATCAAGAATAATGGGACAGACAGGAACACGCTCACTTTAGATATTGTAAATTTTAGACAAGTTATTTTTAATGACGAAAGACTTGTCACGGTATCCCGAGAAGTCCGCTTACTTAATAGTCTTTATTTATGGCTTCCGTGCCTTTACTGTAGAATGTAATTACGGATCCAGGAAACGGGGCCGGGGGGGAGGTGGAGGGCGGAATTACCTTAATTTTAGACCAAAGGGCCGCAATTTTTTTTCTTTGAAATCGAAATTTGCCAAATCAAAAACGTTCATGGGAAAGCAAAAGAACATTGTAGAAAAAAATGTACTTAGAAAAATTAACCTTGTTTCTTGCCACGCTTGAATAGATTGTAAACTGTTAACACTGGCCACTAGATACTCCTGTCGCTATAAGGTTTCTTCAGTAATAAGTGGCCTGCAAACAGCAAAAGTCATTAAAATAGAAACCAAGACACTCAAGTGAAAATATTAAGAACATGGTGAAATAGTCGTTTCCAGTTCTGAATTACCGAGAATAATAAGGAAAAAAAGACGCAGAGTATTTTTATTATAATCAAACTTAAAAGCGTATGCGGGCCAAGTATTACGTAATAAGTCAGAAGATCGATCAATTTTGCTTCTTTCACTGCACTTGTTGCCCGGGCCCTGTCGGCCCAAGTACGGTACTCGCTGGGCACTAATGTGAACACACCCTTTTTTCAGGTACCCACGATAGAATTCGGGCACAAAAATGGGTACCGGATCCCTCTGTGCACACAATTTTTGTAAGTTCCGGGCAGTCCACTGCTTTGTTCTCGCTGCTAAGCTCATGCTTCAATATAGAGTCTGACAGGGCGTAACTATGTACACAGTCGCATATATCGGGTACTCAAAGTGTGAACACAACACCATTTTGTGCCGATATCCAGGCAGTGGTTCCCAAGCACCAAGTGTGAACAGCCCCACAGAAAGAAAGTCCGCACTTCTGAAACAAAACAACAAGGAAGAAAAAGAAATAATGCCTCTTTCAAGACACATACCAGCCCTTAATAGTGTCTACTATAAAAGAAGCTTCAATGAAAAATTGAAATCTCATACAAAACCAGCCACTACTTTGCCAAATTTTTAAAAGAACCACCTATTATATCCTACAAGAAAGGAAAATCATGGCAAAGGACATGCTTGTTAGATCCAAAATATTAAAGGTCAATACATAGTTTTTCACACAGGTATAGTATAGATGTGCAGCCTGTCAGCCCTTGCAGTTTTTCACTAGAAACAATTTACGTATCCAAAAGGCTAGAGTGGGCGTTTTCCTCTGTGTCTAATTAGCCTTTCTTGATTACTTTTTTATTGAGCCCTGTAATCAACAGGGAAACCAAGTTCGCATTTACAATAAAAGTGTAAGTACTATATTGGTAAACAAAGGTGAAATAAACGATCATGTTGCATATTAAACAAACCAGAGTTAATGAAGTTTAAGTGCAATTAAATGATGCATCCCTACAAGTTTTACACGTTTAATAGGGATCAAAGTCTTGAACCTGGGGAAATACATGACAAATATTAATAATTAACATGCATTTTATTTACAACCGTCAAAAATCGAGAATTTTAACCGATTACCGACAAAGTAGCTGAATTTTAACTGACAACCGGCAAGTTGACCCTCCATTCAGACCTCAAGGGGGGTAGAGGTAGCAAAGACTTAATGCACCGTCTGCAGAAAACACGTGGTCTGGGCAGCTAGAGGATCGGAATAGGAACGAGAACCAAGATACGCCTACTGAAGACTTTAGTATGACCGGTCTAATGGTTGTGAAACTTGGAAGAGCACCAAGAACGATGAACGGAAGATAAATAGCTTCCAGTGCCAGTACTTGAGACGGATACTGCGGATTAGACGGCAGCAGAGAATGACAAACAAGAGAGTGGCTGAGATCAATGAGATAAGCTATGAGGTGCGACGAAGAAGGTGGAACTGGCTAGGTCACATACTAAGGAAGGAGGGTGAGAACGACTGCTTTACAGCATTAGGATGGATTCCTGAAGGTCGGAGGACGAGAGGAAGAGCCAAAAAGTTACTTGGAGAAGGAACAATGGAGAAAGAGCGAGACAAAGCTGGGTGCAAGAGCTGGAAAGTAGCCAAAGCGGTTGCACAAGACAGAAGGTGTTGGTCGGATCAGACTTGATGATGATGAAACATAGACATTAGCGGGGCAGAAATCACAAATGTAATCGAAAAGTAAAGAGTAGGCACGTCTTTTTTTTAAGCATTGAATAGAGTATTTTTATCCCCAGCTTAGGACTTATATATGTTCCACAAGACTTCTTTATCTATGGTTGTATACGTCATTTCGGATTGAATATCTCCGGAACGTTTTTAGCGCCGTTTAGGTGCGGTAATCCCAATCCTCACTTCTGCATTTGCCTCCGGGGCACGTACCTATATGATTTATATACATCACTATTATAGGAATACCAATCACACTGCGGCAATCGTGCGTGATCTGGAGAAACGGTGGCGCATTCTCAATTTCTCGGACCTGACTATCTCAGAGCCTCGAACAGGCAAGCGTTAAAGCGAATGACCTGAATTAAATGTTACTTAACTCTTTGTGGTATATCCAAAAATAACTTTGAATTTCATATCTTTGTCACTTCCGAGCCTCCTGTTGATCCCGATCAATTGATTATTCTTTTGACTTCGTGTCAATTCAAACGAAGAGCCTTATTTTTGTTTTGTCTTTTTTTTCCAATTTGGTCGGTCATAACCAGGCCAGTTATGGCAAAAGACAAAAGTCATTTACCGATTGACACCTATACCATTTCGGCAATCAGATTCGAGGAATTTATTGAGTGTCAGATTTTAACAGCTAGAGAGCATACAGATGAAATTATTCATATATTAAAGAATTTGCCAATTTTTGCTTGTTGAGAAACCCTAAATTCAGCTGTATCACCATTTTTCTCTCCCTTGCTAATAAATCTCCATGATGTTAAGTCAGATCTATAATGACCAATAAAATGGTAGAGCTGTTCGCCAGATGGTGAGACTTCGTTGTAAGAAATTAAACGTTTAACATCCGGATGGCTTTGAACGTATTGATCCAAATGTTGATCGATCGCTCTCTTTTCTTCCTTCTTGCCTGACGTCCAGTAAACGCGAGCAATCACCTTGTACGTTCTTTGCAGCCTACTCAATAACCGGTCAACAAACTGTTCCTTGGCCCGGAGATTGTCTACCGCGTTAAGAATGTTGTTTCGATTTGAGTGTATAACAAGGGGTCTATCGCCGTGGTTTGTTTCAGTTGCCACGAACATGTCGCATCCGCCAAGCGGGGCAGTAAAGAACCAAGGAGCCACGCTCGGATTAAGGAACGTGTACGTATCTCCCTTTTCGGCGAAAAGAAGAAAAATGGCTTGAAATTCTGGTCGGTTAGCACATTGATCGCTGCCAGTTGGGACGCTAAGTTCATGAGTTTTTGAATACACTTTCACTTCATTTGTAGCTACCGCGCCGGTAGCATAACAGGTCGTGTGTTCGAAATTGCAAAAGTAACCCCCATCTTTATCAAGTTTACAGCGAGGTGCCATATCCCCGCTATTGCAATAAGGAGAAACTATCCCTGACCCATCGGTATCGATGATAGGCTTGCCTACCGTCATCAGATTAGCAAGTGCTTCGTTTGTATTTTGTGGAGTGACTTGAAGTTTTTCTTTGGAACCTGCGCCCCCTCTCTTATTCACATCTTGATGGCTGAGGACCAACGTGAAAGTAAGGAAGACGAAACATAATACTTTCTTCATCTTAATCCCTGGAACAAACAAAATCAGCTGGAATTGCAAGGGACGAATTAAGTGTCCGGTGTCTGTAAAATCTATCTCTTCTTCGTTAGTAAAATAACTTGTTAAACTGATACTATAAAATTATAACTAAAAAGGCCTATAGACACTCAATTCTGGTGGCTCTATTGAAAGGCTAATGTGGTTACGAAGTAACTGTAAGCTCACTCAAACGTAGGTAATGTGTTTTCTTGGAATCCAGTCTCCCATCCCGGGCAAGAACAAGTTTTGTAAGTTGCAACCGTTTTGAGCTCGACGGTAAAAATATACCCTAATCAAATATTATGTTTGCTGAAATCTTTCCTGAACTTTAAAGTTACTTCTTTATTAGTAAAATAACTTGTTAAACTGTTACTAATAAATTTGTAAGGGCCTATAAAATACGCAATGCACGAAGTAGACACTCAATTCTGGTGGCTCTATATTCACTTCTGAAAGACCAATCTGGCTATGAAGTAAGAGCATCACGGTAACGTATTTTCTTCGGATCCAGTCTCCCATCTCGCACAAGAACAAATTTTACTGAATATTATGTTTGCCGAAATCTTTCTTGAACTTTAAAGCTGCTAAAATAGAGCATTCTTTTCTGTCAGAAAATTAATTGCAATTGGCTTCTAAAGTCCACCCATGTTGTGAATTTTCTATTACTGATTGGCCACATAGAAGCTAAGGCTGTGTATACTTGATTTAACACAACAAAACACAACGGACTCATAAGAACTGTGGGACACACGTTCTAAAGCCAAATGAGATTAGCCTGCGTAGCAAGCGTTTCCTCGCGAGTTCGTCGAGAATGTTGGGACAAGAGCAAAAAAAAAATGAATGACGGGGGAGGGGGAGGGGAAAGAAAGAAACGCTTGCCCGCAAACGAGTCCATCTTTATGTCGGATGTCGAGGGTCGAGGGTTCCATGTCGAGGGTCGAGGGTAACAATTTTTGTATTTTTTTTTATTTTAAAAATGAAAAACAAATGGAAAACAAATAAGAAGAGTGGTGCGGGCGGGGGGGGGACAGAACACGTTACTTGATAACCTAAGAACGTCTTCTGCTCTTTTGACGAGCCACGTAAAAAATGTCGTAAAAAAGTGTAAAAAAACTGATTTAACTGATATATTACTGTCAAAATGAGCCTGGCCCCCTGCAAAAATAACAAATAACGGATATGCGGCTAAATAAGCGATAAAAGGCTTTGCCCTTGACCTAACCCTTTCAACTTTTCCCAGTTTTTGGCTAGGTGGACCGACCCATCTTCACGAGATGGAGGCGATGAAAAACGAAACGTATTATTTTATTGAAAGTTAGCATAATCGTCTGCTTCGATCTGATAGCTGTTCGTGAACAAAAGCTCCCCTTTTCGTGCAAAATAGGAAATAATCGCTGAAGCCGTTGTGAAGAACGTTTTTTGCGCAGACACCTCTCCTTTAAAATGCACACTAGGGATAAAGACGTGTACAAAATTAGTTTCGCCACATGACTTCGTGTTATCCCACTGCCGCCATCAACTGGGCCGATAAGTGTTGGTTTTGCGTTCCTTTTTAATTTGTGTTTCAGGGTGTTTCAAATTTCTGCAGCAGTGATATAGAAAACATTAACGTAGGTAATTGGAGGAGTTCATTATTGCTGCGCGACTCGGGCGATAGCATCAGCCATCGAATTATCACTCTAGCTACGTACCTAGGTCACGATTTCCGGTGTCGGTGATTATCGATGACTTGTATTTTAAAATTTCAGGGCGCGTTTCTACTTCATTGAAAGCACAACAATTCGGTCGCATACACTGGGATAGCTTAAAAATCAAGAACCGGGGAAACATCCATATTCAAACTAAGAGGCAGACGTGACTGAAATATAAGCCTAACCAACGCCTCCTCCTAAATGCATTGAAAACACTTTTTCGCTTATCCAGAGTACTTTCAAATCTCTAGAAATGCATTCTAAGCGGCGCTATAAAAGTGGTATCTGTTCGGTCGTCCTATAGTCTGCTACACAGCCGTTTTTAGTGTCGTCACGCAACCCTGCTCCCTACTTAGTGGGGAGGAGCGTTGATTGACGACACTAAAAACGGCTGTGTAGCAGACTAGTCGTCCTTGGGCAACTTGAATCTTTTCGAAATTACTTAGGGCCTCAGTATTGTTTTCCCGAAAATTTTAGATGCAATTTTAGGTTTTACGAAAGTGAGAATTTTTCTGATTCCTCTCTCCATCGCATTTTCGAATCCGAAAATTTTACATTTCCTTTTTCTACGAAAAATAGGCTTACTCGGGACCGAAATGCGAAACACTAAACTTTAGAAAATCGTAGGGAATTTATTACGAAAACTGTACGTGAATGGAACGGCCATCTAGAAATTTTTAGCCTTCCTCAAGTAATAGAAAATTGCAGGCAATTTTTGCTTCTCCGAACAGATATTTTACAGAAAACAGTCGTTGGGTGCCCCTGCCTAAGCTCTATGATATTTTTTTAGGCATAACCTGTTTAACTTCACAGGAAAGGAGAAGGTTCTTTGCTTTTAAGAAAATTCGAATGTCCACATACTATTTTAATTAAACAACAACAAAAACACACATTTTCTTTAAAAAAAAAATGGAAAAAAATTACCCTCGACATGGTACCGTCGACCCTCGACATGGAACCCTCGACCCTCGATCCTCGACCCTCGACAAAAAGATAGACTCCATCTGACACGGCCAGTAATTATGCAAATACGCAAAATGGCAGATTATAATCTACTGTTGGTTGCAATCTCAGAAGACCCCGCACGTCTGAGCCTATAAACCAAGTAAATAAGCTTAAAACTTTACTTTGATATGATTTTTAAACCAGATTTAGACCGCAACTTTTGAGATATTTTCTCTCAAATCTTCCTTACTTTCAGGGTTTGGATTAAGCCTGCAAAATAGGTATTCTTTGAACCACTGTAACTTGAACATGTTTTGATCGAGGATATTTTTATTTAGCCTTTGAACTATCAAAGGTTAACTAAAAAAACTGAATCGAACAGATTTTTTGTGCGGGAGTTCGTTTTTTTGCAACGCGCTTTTCAAAATCCATCAATTTTAGTCTTTGAAACACTCTCTGAGAAGCCGAGACGGACTCAATTCGTTTTTGGCTTGTAGCAGAGCTAAGAATAAGAATTTGAAAACAAAAATAGCGATTTTAGTATATACCTACTAACGCCTCTTCACCGACAAAAAATAAAGGAAAAGTGTCTTTTGTCGCGAAATCGAGTGGACCGTTTTTTATGGAGACTGCCTCTTAAGGTGATTCCCTGGTTTTGCATTGCGCATCTCTTACTGCGCATAACAAGATGGCCTCCGTAAAAAAGAGCATGTGAAGTAGTATTATTAAAATGAAGTTGACTGAAGAGAAACTTTATTGCAATTTTTGCTTGCGGTTGTTTCTTGCCGAGGTGAGACTCAATGTGGTGGGAATGTGCATAACGTGAGCAGTACGCGTGTTGCTGAGTTCGACTTCCTCACGGAGAACCTCGATAGTGGCTGTTTAATTTGTGCTTATTCACTTTGATTTTCATTTAAACGCTTTCTTTATCACATTGTGTCCTAAATGTGATGTCTTGATGTAAATTCTGTAAAAACGGATTTTTTTAATACTTTCTTCCCTCTTTCGCATACATTCTATTTTAAAACTCGCCCCAGTCCTCTCTCAAAAATCAAGGAAATGCATTTGGTGCGCACTTTCTGCAGCTCCACCGCAAAAACGAGTACGGTGACCCCCATTTTTTATTTCATGATTTTAATAAGGACAGTACTTCCTTTCGGTGAGAAAAAAATTGGCACAAATCTATGTTCCGTTTTTCGGCAATTTTACTAAATTGTACGGATTGAGCTATCACGTGACGAATAGCGCGTGTCCAATTTAATTCTATTTTGGAGCGTAAAGTAAAAACAAGGGCATTAAAAGGCATTTTTCTAGTACGTAAGTGGATAAACAATACATTAAAGTCAAATTCTGTGCGATAGACATGCATCATTGAAAAAATCTTTCCTTTTTGTCTAGTTTTGGGCTGAGCGCGGTTTTTGTCAAAGCGTCCAAAATAGCCGTATTTGTCAGCATTGTGACGTCAAAACTAGCACGGTCACCCCCACTTTTTATTACCTTTTTATCATCTTCTTGACTTGTTACATCAGTGTACCAAGTTTCATCTACAATCTATGTTAGGTTCCTTTACTAGGGAATCACCTTAATCATCACCTGGTGTTGGAAGGTCGGCGACTTGATCACTTACTCGCTCATTTTCATCTCTTGATCGTCAAGAAGGAGCAGTCAGCAAGGCCAAGTTACGGAAATATTGCAGTAAAAGTAAGAACATGGGTCTCTGGCTGGAGGTTAAATGGTTAAATGGGCCAAAAAAAATGAGAATGGTTGGTTCAGGGGCACCCTGGAGTCAGAGAAAGTTTATGAGGGGAAGTCCATGTTCAGTCTTCCAAAACGGCAAGGGCTGCTTAACTTGAGTGTTTGTCTTTTAAAAACTTTCTTTCCAAAGAAAAGGTGCATACAAAGTAACAAAACGAGCTTTTTTACCTCAGGTAACAATATATGAGAGTAGAGACTTGCCTCGAATAGATTTCAATTACTACTTTACTTGAAATATCACCTGACATTAGAGTTCACGTTAATAGACTGCATATTTTCTCTAGGAACCTGAAGTTGATATTAACTTCGAGTTCCACTTTCACCCTTACTAATATCTTAACTTAAATTTAAAATTTTGCCTTTCATAATTAACAACATATCAGCCGCAGGCATTTGTGATATCCCTGCAGTCTCGTCATGATTTATTAACTAAAGTGTTCCTTAACACGTCCGTCATAAATGTCACCTAGAATAAACTACATAGACTAAACATAATTAAGGCTATATTCAGTCTTAATACTACTTAATTTAATCCATGCAATTTTAAGTATTTTTGTAAGAACTGTCTTCTTTATATTGCGCTGTTCTTGTAGCCCCTCCACCCCGTTTAAGGTAACCCAAGACAGTCTGTGGATTCTGGATTCTAAGTACTGGATTCCAGATTCCTTGTCAGTGGAACTTTGAATCAGGATTCTAATCGTTAGTGGGCTTCCTAATTCTTAGAGCGAAGTTTCATTGTACGGATTCCAAAGCCCACGGACGGGTTGTTCAAAGCTAGGTTAAGATAACGCAAGGTAAGTGCGAAATTTGACTAAGGTATGAAAGCTTAAACAGCAAATTCAGTGAACTTCTTCTTGTCTACAATTTGATTATTGGATGCTCTAAAAAGAATAGAGAAAATCTACCGAGAAAGTGCTTTTGAACAAATTAAAGAAAAAGAAACCGGATAAAAATTTAAGCCTGGGTTAGCAATTAATCTGCTTTGAATTACTGGGCTCAGGATTTCGGATTCCAAAAGCAAAAATTTTCTACATTTCGAAATCCGGATTACCTTGCATGGGGCGAGTTGTTAAACAGGCCGTAGCTCTTCAGGGGTGGATTATACCCTTGTCCACTGGATGAATAACTACCTGGATAACATCCCGTAATGGTTTTCTTAACATTTAACCAATGAATAACGGCTTATCCTGTAGGTCAATTTAATACTATCCAACTTTTGAACAATCGGGGCCAGAAGGTTAATCCTTGTGAACCCGATCCTCAGAAACGCGTTTCCAGTGTATTCAAATTAAGCACGCAGGTTTCAGAATCTTGAGGGTTCTTTGCACAATCGTTACTCCCTGTTCCCGGCTGGGTTTCAGCTTTGGTGTTGATATCCACTGATTGATTAGTGGACTTTGGATCATTTTCCGAAATGTTCTCCTTTGCGTTTTCAACTGCCTCTGAAAAGAAGGAAAACAATGGATTATTAGTAAAGTGCACGATGTCGGTTCCAACGAATCGTTTAGAGTATTTTTTATCAAAGTTGCATACCCTCGTGGAGCACTACTGCAACATTGTCGTCAGTTTCATCATCACTGGACTCCTCCTCCATACTGTCGAAAGACTGCACATTGTATTCGGCTTGTGATTCGTCCACAGCAGTCAGGTCCAGATATGGATTGTTCTTCTGCATTATGGTCTCCAGGCTCTCCCGAATCTGAGTAAAGGTGGGACGATTTTCGGGGTTATCCTGCCAACAGTCCTGCATCATTTTATAACTGTAAAAGTTAACAGAAATTAACCAAGTAAAGAAAGATTCAACTAACTGCGTGGCCACGAGTAACATTTAAACTCTCTTTCGCGTTGACTGTATTACTTACGCTTTCCAATCAACTCGAAGGTTTAAAGGAAAAGATCCACTTACCTCTCCTTTTTTCTATACTGAAAAATGCTACACATTTCGTATATAAAAAAAAAATTCAAAAGGCACCCATTCCCAAATAATATGGTGCCCAAAACAGGGAGGTAAAGAGTCACTGACACAAGAAAGTTTAAGAACATTATCAGTCTCCTGGTCTGGTTACGTTTTGCGTTTTCAGTTTCTTTGTTGTTGTTGTTGTTTCCTTAGTTTCGAGTTCAACATTGGTAACAGGTCATCAGAGGAACTCAGTAGACATTAGAAGAAAATATTCTGCTTTAATCTATGTTCATCATCAGTAGTTTTGATTACTTACAGCTCTTCATTGCAAGTGTCTGGTTTTTCCATTCTGTATCCATTCTTCAGCAACTGCAGCAGTTCTTTGTTCTGTATGGTAGGGTATGGTGTTCCACCTGATATGATGATATATACAGGAGCCAGTATTTGGGACGGCCGGTGCCCAAAATTAGGAAGTATTTTCTCGGTTACGATACTGATTATGTAAGACAAGTAGGACTATTGAAATCCCAAAAGATAACACATTTTTCAGAGATTACTGTTTAATTAGGCGAAAAAAGTCTTTTTGTAACAAAAAAAATGTTCAAAAGTCAATTTTTTCCATCTTTCAGGGTTTGCACTATAACTGGCACATGTGCAATTACATAATAATTTTAATTAAGGAGGGTTAATATCAACAGAGTTGTTATCAGCAGAGTCTCCTCTCTACGCTATTCCTCCAAAAGTGGTTCAAATGATTTTTGGCCTAACCATAAATTGATCATGTGCTGAGCAGGCTAAAGCTACGTTTATTTGATAACATAAAAAAATAGGGCTGAATGGCTACAACGCTGTCAATTTAATTTCATATTATTCGCGAACGCATTTCATGATATTTAAAGTCATCGTGTACTCAAAGTTGTATAGAGATATATTAGGCCATTATCGTACCTAGAGTAACTATTTCCCAAAGTACCACTCCAAAGGCCCATCTATAAGAAAAACAACAAAGAATCGGTTATGTAATTGAAAAAAGCAGGTATGTTAATATCAGTGAAACTGATGAAGGAGTTAAAAGAGCACTTTGCTCAAGCATGCTAACAATAATTAAGGTGGACGGTGAATTTCTTTTCACTTGCAGAATCCTTTATATGAATTAAGTTAGGATGATTTAAAAGTCCATCACAGGACTATCATCATGCGCCGTTACTGTCTTAATGGTAATAATAATTACAAAAGTAAATTATCATTATTATTAAAAAATCTCCCAGAATCCTTTGAGGCAATTTCTTAAAAAGCTTTATAACTTTGACAATTTTATACCTAGAAGACTGTCAGACCACAACAACATAATATTTGCCATAAACTATCTTCCCATGTCACATCGAAGGTAATGACGTCTCATTCACGTGACTATTTTCGAACAAGATTTTATTAACGAGTTAAAAACAAATAGCATATTTGAGGTTTCAGTTGTGTGGGGCATTTAAAAATAACCAGTTGACGTCCGGCATTTTAAATTCAAGGGGGTAATGAACATGAGCGAAAAAGTCGGGAGACTGGGCCGAGGGCTGCAAAGAGTCAACTTTTTATCACACGGCAGAGAAAATTTGCGGGAAAGTAATGTTTTACTGATAATTTTTTTCATGACCAAAAGAGGGACATGATGTCATCAGTCACGTGATCAAAGCGTTTTGAACGTTTTAGTTCGTTTTTAATGTACCTTTTTGTCATAAATTGGCAAAATTTTGCTGTTTTTCTCAACAATTCTTTACACTGTATTGTCTCTGAGTAATTATTATTTCATTTTCGAAGCAGAAGCAAACGAAAACTGAGCCAGAAGATTAAAAGTTGAGTAAATTGACCGATATTGCAAGTTAAAATCGAAAAAGAAGACCTATCCTTGAGACTTTTGTAAAATCTTTTTTCAACTTAACTGTTTGTTTGCCGAAAAAAAAATGTTCAACTTTAAAAACTAAAAGGATTTCTTTGGCGGCCATATTGTTTTTCTTCATTCCAGGTAGAGAGGTCATGTGGCAGCTCTTCTAACCCTAAAGGCAAAATGGTTTGCTACCCTAACCTAAAACAATGGAAATAATGATGAACAATGTTGTGTTATAATGTTTTCCCCGACCTATGAAAAGGCACCTTACGAGCAGGGAGATAATTGTACAGTCACACGGCTCAGTCGGCGACGAGAACGACTTCGTAAATGCTAAAAACCACTCCGGAAAGAAACCTCTTTTACTAGCGTGTAATAAGCAATAAAAAGTTAAGCGCGCTCTATTTATCAAATATTTAATGAGGCCGTGAGTATGATGTGGTATCATGCAGATCGAGAAAAATGTTATTCACCGAGGGCGATTGTTTTATTATTCATTCAAAATACTTTTAAGTTCTAAATAAGTTGACCTCCCCGTAGACTTTTTTAAAAACACATGGTTTCAGGATATATTCTCGCATTTCTTCCGTTCAGTTTAGAGTTGTAAATTCAGCTACATGTAATTCGTCTTCGAATAGCCATCACTGTTTCCCAAGCAGCCCTGTTTCCAGGCAATTATACCATCGATCAACCTCGTTTCCAAGGAGATATACCATCGAATTGGTGGTATATTGGTCGCATCTTCCAAATATGGTAAGCGCCAGTTGGTTATAAAGAATTTGCGGGGGACTGGATCCAATCAGAAACAGCGAGATATTTTGAATGAATAATGATTAAAATCTACAATTCATATGAACTTTGCATGTGTTGAAAAAGCGCTTTTTTCAGTTATCAATCAACAGATCAGTAATCTTACACATCGCTCTTCGTGGTGAATGTCTGGTCAAAGATAGCTTCTGTTGACATCCATTTGAAGGGAAGTTTCCTGTTCCGTTTGCCATGGTAAACTTTCTCTTCATACACGTATCGACTCAGTCCAAAGTCTGACACTTTTGCAATTTTCTTTTCTCCAATAAGCACATTTCTTGCAGCCAAATCACGATGAACATAACCCTTTCTCGCTAGATATTCCTTACGCAAGGAAGAAAAAAAATTAAGAAATTCAACATCCTACAAAGTCAGATTAACTGAAAACCTACCGTTAAAAGGGGCCCTGAGTTAATCGTCCTAACTTATCCAAGGGGACTAAGTTTAACCACTTGCAGATGTCAGAGCAAAAGCATCACTCTCTCCTCAGTTATTTAAATACCCTGAGTGCTGGTTAGCCGGAAATCACACTAAAGCCTTGGACTAGAACATTCCGGAACCAAACCTTTTGAGCTAACAAGAGGGCAAATTTCGGCGGTTTTTCTTCGCTGGAAATGACCGCTGTCTTACTTACCATGCCTTGGCAGACATGCCAAGCAAACGCCATTAGATTTCCAGGAGTCAAAATCTCCTCGTTGCAGTCTTCTTTGTCTTCCTCTTCAGTATTCAAGGTTTTGGTTTCCCCGCCAATTTTGATCTGATCTCCCGGTGTAGTGAATGTGTTCGACCGTCCAAGCTCTTCGTTTGACATTGGAATATTAACGTATACACGTTTATCTTTACTAGCCTGCAGGAAGTAAAAACAAAACAGGAAATCAAGTGTGAACGTATTCGTCATTTCATTTGATATCCCATAATTCACCTTGTTAGCATAAGCATTGTTTTCAATTTCTCTTGGGACAACTGTATTACCCTGGAGATATTAAAAACAAAGACTATGGATGTTGGGAGGATGGAAAATCTGCTTAATACATGACACACTAATGGGACTGACCGATCATTCATTAATAAGATCTCAGAGCGCTGTCTTCTATTCTTTCAATAAACTTGGGCACAATATCACGATTTCCCAGTTTGGTACAACTGTGGCTTAAAGAATCGCTGTAAAGCGCGGTCTACCTAATAAAAAATAGCCTTCCTAAACGTTAACCATTTCACGTTGTCTGTAAAATTTTATTTAAATCGCCTCTAAAACAGCCGAAATATAAGCGTTTTAAAAGATGTAGAACAAGCAAAAATTTGCCCCCGCGGCCTTAAAAATACCTCATAGGCGAAAACTTGTACATGTTCGTGTTGTTGTAGCCGCCATCTTTGATTTTATGACAGAGGAAGATTGGGGAGAGTAGAGCAAAAACATTCGCGCGCCAGAAGGGCTACAATAATATTTCTTTTTGTGATTAAAAAAACAAAACAAAACAAAACAAAAACGAAAATGAAAAATGACGCAGTGTTCTCAATATCTTAGTGAATATTGGCGAATTCTGTTCAAATACTGTCAACGTCCAATAGTTCTAATTTCACCCTTTTAGAACCTTGGGAGCCTCTTAAGCACAGCAATGCCGATTTCAGGAGCGCAAAGGATACTTTTGCCCGAGTTCATGACACAGTTTTCACCCTTTTCGTAGCAACAAGTTCCGCATGCCTACTATGGTATCATTTACATTCGACCGCCATTCCACTCATCGTGCTAAAAACAAATGGCTTGAATGTGGTTTGCTCTACCTAAAGCGTTTTGAATGTTTTAGTTAGTTTTTAAAGTACCTTTTTGTCATAAATTGGCAAGATCTTGCTGTTTTTCTCAACAATTCTTTACACTGTATTGTCTCTGAGTAATTATTATTCCATTTTCAAAGCAGAACCAAACAAATTGAGCAAGAAGTTTAAAAGTTGCTCTTGAGACTTTTGACTTAACTGTTTATTTGCCGAAATAAATGTGCAACGTTTGTTAATAAAGGAGAACTTTAAGAACTAAAAGGATGTATTTGGCGGTCATATTGCTGGTTTTTAGTGGCACGCCACTTAAAATAGATCAAAATAAAAATCAAAACCGTTCAATAGATAAAGTCCAGAATCTGGGAATAAAAGGAGTTAAATATGCAAAGACCCTTGCCAAGATTCAGGCCAGTGCAATTTTTCATATACGAGATATCCGGAGAAATGTTTTACCTAAATTTAAAGAAATTTTTATGGATATGCCATGCTGGTGCCCATCCGGATGGGCACCAACAAGGCGGCCGGAAATCAATAGAAATATCTGTTACTGAGTTTTGAAACGAAAGCGAGAATTTATCTCTCGAGGAACTCATAAACATTAAAGCAATACTTTTTCTAATACATGAACTGTTCAGATAGTAATATTCCCCTAAATAAGTCACTTTTTTAACCTAAATGACAGCTCTCTCGGCCGTCATGTAAATGCCGCGTCACGCAAAAGCTTAGAAATTCAAGCGTATTCTATCACAAAATCAAGAACCCTTTCGGGGCGAAAATTTGTATGAATATTAGTTTTCAGCTGCTCTTGTAAATCATGAAAGTAAAATCTCAGTAGGATCGATAGTTTTGTAGGTTAAATTTTGGTGACGTCATGTCAAAACCAACAATTGTTTTTCTTCATTCCGGGGAGAGAGGTCATGTTGCAGCTCTTCTCTAAAGGCCAAATGGTTTGCTACCCTAACCTAAAACAATGGAAATAATGATGAACAATGTTGTGTTAATGTTTTCCCCGACCGATGAAATGACACCTTACGAGAAGCGAGAGAATCTTACGGTCATACGGTTCAGTCGTTAGCCGCGCGATCGATATTTCATAAATTTCTTAAACGTTCCCCAGCATGGACCAAGCCTGAAAGAGTATGAAATAGTATAAGCAGAAAAGATTGTTTGTCAACAATAGACATCAACTGTTTAAGGAACTGGATGGAGATGCACAGGAAGAACAGGAGTCTCCTGATGCGGATGCAGCTGTAGAATTTTGGAGTAATATCTCGGACGAAACAACAAAACATAATCAGGAGACAGGATGGTTAGATGATGTGGGAGAAGGGTTGCAAGATCATGTTCCAAGGCAAAGTAACATTGAGATCAATGTTCAAGAGGTTGAAACACAGTTAAAAAGGATCCCGAACTGGAAGGCTCCTGGCCCTGATCGGGTACAGGGCTTTTGCCTTAAAACCTTTCTCAGCCTACATGGTCCCGCACACTTGCATCATGGAATGCCTCAACCTAGTTGGTGCTGCCTCCTGAGAAGGAGCAAGGAAGGGTGTAAAACTGTCTTGACCTCAAGCAATGAGTCGCAATCGCTCAGTGAAATTGGAATCAGAAGAGGAATTTTTCAGGGTGACTACATATCATCATTGCTTTTCGTCATTGCTATGATCCCGCTGACACTGGTACTCCGAAATGTGAAGCCTGGGTATGTCTTACGCAATGACCAGATACGGATTTACCACTTACTATTTATGGATGACGTTCAATGGAAAGAACGAGCGTGAGATTGAATCATTAGTCCAGACTGTCCGAATTAATATAGTGAAGATATTGCTATGGAGTTCGGTATTCAAAATTGTGCATGCGTAATCTTGAAGGGAGGAAAACCTCTTTTTTTGACGGTATTTGAAGCTACCTGAAGGCAGGGAAATTTCTGCATTGGAACAGGGGGAGGGTTACAAGTATCTGGGCGTGCTAGAGGCTGGAGATGTCTTCCAGGAGGAAATGAAAGCAAAGCTGACAAAGGAATACTTTCAAAGGGTATGATCGATTCTCAAGTCGAAGTTGAACGGAGGCAATGTTGTGGTAACTATTAATGACAGAGCTGTATCTCTCTTGAGGTGGAAGCTATTGACAGGAGGACAGGAAAGTTGTTCACAAATTATGGCGCTCTAAACCCTCGAGCAAATACAAGTAGAATATACTTGCCGAGGAAGGAAGGTGGACGTGAGCTGATTAGTGCAGCAGATTGTGTCACCATCGAACAGTTGAGTTTCAATCGATATGTTCAGACAGACAGAAGGTGTGACAAGTAATCTCTCTTGGACGTGGTTGAAGAAGGGGGAATTCAAGAAGGAGACAGAAGGATTGTTAACAGCAGCCCAGGACCAGCGCTGCAAACCAATGCAATAAAGGCAAAGATTGACAAGCAGGCTGTCAGCTCAAAATACAGGTTGTGCAAGAGTACGGAAGAATCAGTAAGCCACATAGTTTGTGAATGCTCAGTGTTGGCTCCGAGAGAACATAAAGGTAGACACGATGGCGTTACAAAAGCTGTCCATTGGTGCCTCTGCAGAAAGTACGGATTGGAAGTTGCAGGCAAGTGGTATGAGCATGTCGCTGGAAAAGTTCGAGAGTCCGAGAAAGTGCAAATCCTTTGGCATTTTAGTGTACAGACTGATCATCAGCTTGAACACAATAGGCCTGACCTAGTTGTAGTAGACAAACAACAAGCAGTTTGCAAATTATTGATGCAGTTGTACCAGGGGATGCTAGGGTGAAACTAAAGGAGAAAGAGAATTTTGATAAATATAAAGACCTGGCAAGATAATTGAGAAAACTGAACCTATTGTTATCGGGGCACTTGGGACAATCCCAAAAGGATTAGTTGGCCCTCTTGAAAGCATAGGGGTGAATCTTGATGTGGCTCAGATTCAAAAGACCGTCCTATTAGGAACAGCACGAATCCTCCGACGGGTTATCGACTACTAAGGTTGCAGGATGTAACCTGTTCCAGGAACTGGCTACCAGTTGAACACTGAGAGTATATACATAATAATAGTAATAAGGAAAAACTTTCTAAGTACAATGATCTCAAAATAGAATTTGAGAAAACATGGAGACTAAAAGCAACAACTGTCCCAGTGGTCATTGGTGCTCTCGGGCTTGTCAAGAAAGGGAGTGAAAACTATATCAGCAAGATCCCAGGAAACATCAGAATAACAGAGCTTCAGAAGATTGTCCTCTTGGGACCGCTCACATACTCAGGAGGTCACCAGCCATTAAATAATCCACGAGACTTATTACTGCCCTAATATAAGTTCATGTAATGAAGTTGGCTCCATAAGAGGAAAGAGCATGACTCCAACTCGGAGAATTAATAATAATAATAATAATAATAATAATAATAATAATAATAATAATAATAATAAAATGGACGTCCCAATTGTCAATTCCACGCAAAGTCAAAGCTACGAACACTTACGCGATACCTTCACTACACTATTACATGTGGACAACAGATTGGCCAATTAACACCTTAAGAGATCTAAAACAGGGTAACAAGGAAGATCATGAATGAATGCCATGGTAAACACAAACATAAAGCGACGCAGCTCCTGTTCCAACCATCTGAACAAGGATGTAAAGGGTTTATGGAGATTGAAGCTCTCTACAAACACACGAAAGATAAAAGCGGCTAACGAAATCAACACCTCGGATGATGTACAAATTGAATTGGTGAAATTTTGTCAGAAGAAAAACGAAGACAGAAATTTGAAATCAGTATTCAAGGATCGGATGCTAAGAGAAATGCGGAGGAACTGCAGTTAATTTAGTGAAGAAACCACAGAGTCATCAGTCACGCCTACCAGGTAGCTGTGACCAGTACTAAAGAGCCCCGAAACATCAAAGAAATCCTAAGAAAAACCACAAAGGAGAAGAGGGCCGACGTCATGGAACAGCCTTGAGTGGGAAAATATGTAAACCATTACTGGAAGGACCCAGAGATTGCACCTACGTCATATCACAAGTTTATGAGTTGGAAGAACATCCCGGACATAGTCTTGTCTATTGACACATCTATAAGACAGCAATTGGTTAATAACAAGACCTGCAGGAAAGAAAAGTTGCAAGAGAGTGTTAAAGAAACTAATTATAGAGTATGTTACAATGATCAAGAAACAGAACCTCACATATTGTGTGGTTGCTCCCAAATGGCACAGACACTATACAAGGACAGACATGATAAAACGCGACGACCACTTTACCACAGTGTTAGAAAAATACGAATTTAGTGAATCTCAGTTCTTTCAGCCGTGGTATAAGTAAAGCCACCCGGTTCCATGCTTGGAGAAAGCGAAAGTGTTGTGGGATATTCCATGGCATCTGGAAAAATTCCCCAGAAACGGAGCAAACAAACCTGATGTGAACGTCTTGGACAAAATAAATAAGGAATGGTTCATAATCGAAGGAACTACTTGCATGCCAAGGACAATACCAGCAAGGACTATGTTTAAAAGGGACGAATACTGATGCAGATTATAAAATTAGGAGTGAAGAGTTTATATCCGGAACACAAAGTTAGCAGTATAGAAGTTGTGTTTCATTTCCTAGCTGCATACTCCATTAACCTAGAGAAGGAAGTTGCTAAGATTCTGGAAGATAAGAAAGTCGTAAACGTAACTATAGAAAGATCGATGGACGATTTCTCAAAACTGTGAAATAGTAAAAAGGTTCACTTCGCCTTGACAAGCGTTGTTTAGCTTCATTGACTAATTTCTGGGTAGATAAGAATATTCTTGTATCTTAGATTTTGACTGCATGAATATTCATTTTCGCTTTAAATTATTATCATCTATTTTTATTACCGTATTGTACATTTTATTGGTAGCCTTAGCCTTTGTAGTTTTTTTTTCAGATTTTGTAAATAGTATAAATGCCTAGGCCAGTATTCAGGACGATATTTTTACAATAAAGTCTTCCATAATAATAACAATAATAATAATAATATTTCAGTTCACTCATTCCACGTTAAGTGGGTAAAATGAGCCAAAGAGTTTCGAAAAATCGAAGGTCAACAAATCAGACAAGTAGTGAGTTTAACCGAAAGATGTACTATTGAAGGGTGAGAAACCAAAATTTGGTCAACATATCTTTTATCTACTAAACGTTACAGCCTGTTATTTCATAGCATGTAGTGTGATATTTTGTATGGCTTGAAACAGCACAGTGTTGCATTATATCTATGTTTTTTTCAATTTAGCGTACTCTAAAATGTTTAAAATGAAATCCGTGGCAGGCTAAGGTCTGAGTTTTACATTTTAGTCAAGTCAGTGGCTCAAGGAATGAAGAAGTCAAGTTGTTCTGCCATGGTGTACTTTGGTCTGACGTAACAAAATATTGAGAATTTAAAACTGCTGTGTTTTTTTTATGTTTTTTCTTTAAAAAAGCCGTCAGACTAGACATTATTTTGCTAAATGTAAAGGAAAGAAAGTGTTGTTTACCTTTATTATAGTTTGGAAACATGTGATCTAGTAGAAAACGAGTGATTATCAAATAAATTTCGGTAACGGAAGTTACAGAAGGAAGGTAATATTTCATTTCTCTTCCAACTACTCACTTTTGGGATTACAGACCGTCTTAAATAACAATGCATATGACTTATTCTATTGAATTGAATTAATGGTAAACAATTTTGGATGAAATTTTTGGGTGGAACGAGGCTAAAAACAACAAAATGAGCCAAATAAATTGAATTAAAAGAAAAAAAATTAATAGATATATGGTAATCTGTTAGAATTCGTACCAAGAATTGTAATACATGAATATTGTAAAGTCCATTCACATAAAAGAGGGTTGAACTAGCGAAAACAGCTTCAGATAATCCACTTCCTGTTGTGTAACCTCCGTTACTTTAAAAAAGATTAAAATGATTAAGATGCCTGTCTCATTTTCATCTTATATTCCTAAATTGCCTAGAACTATTTCAAAGGAAAATAAACTTCTTTAAACTATGCAAAAAAACTCCGCGAAGCATAAACTCAACTAAAATTTTCTTATCACAATTGACAGAGAGGTCTCTCACCAATGGAACACGTGTGAGGGTGTACTTATGACGAAATCTTCACCAAATGTCACCAAAGCTTAAGTTGTTTGACGGGGCAATCGTGTGACAGCATTTCCCGAAATTTACCTGACGTTTATCCTATGTTTTAGAGACCGGACAAATTCTTGCTAACGGAAGTTACGGTAACGGAAGTTAAAATTCTACCTTTTCTGTTACATCTTTAAGTGAAATTAATAAATCGGAAAAACCAAACGTACTCCATAATAATCCTCACTAGCTCCTCCGTCACCACAAAAATCAGCACGACCCACTTTTCATTTTTTCCTACTGTAATCTTAGTAACGGAAGTTACAACCTTAACTTTCTTTCCACAGGCTTTTACTCTTTTTTATGTATTGCGTATCAAAAAGAGCAAAGTTAAGTAATATTTACCAGATGTAAATCATTCGCAGTATTTATTTCTAGGCCATTTGTGATCTGCCCTCAGATCGGTAACGGAAGTTTCATAAAAAAAAGCGGACACCAGTTCACTGTAGTTAAAAGCAACAAAACTGACCTGCAGTGAGAAATGATCATGTAGGACTTTAGTTTAAGTCCCTCCCGAGACATTGGATTGATTAGTTTCCATAGTATAAGGCGACAAGCACAAATATACCGTAACGTTCTATACCGATCCTCTCTGAGGACATAGCAAAATTGCATTTTTTGGACACTTTTGGCCTTGATTCCCTGAAAGTTACTGTCTACAGGAGCACAAAGGGGTACTGTCGCTATTTATTTGGGCATATTTTAAGTATTTTTCAGCAAAATGACTATGGGAAAACAATTTGAGTCCTCAAAACTTGCCATGGACACCAAAAAATGGTAATTTACCCACTTAACGTGGAATGAGTGAGTTGTGTTTAACAATTATTCGCCGAAGGCGAACTTAATATTGTTGATTATTATACATCAGACTCACTATGATTAATCTGATTGGTCGAGAGCATTCAATCAATTCACAATAGCTTGTGAACTTGACATGATAAATGCAATATCTGCTGCAGATATTGCATTTATCATGTCAAGTTCAACGTCTGCCTGGTTACCAAGCCCCTTTGAGTGTTCTCCTCAGAAACAGAATGGCTGAATGTCTTCTTTTGCCTATTGTGTAAAAAATGTATAATAAAACAATTATTGAATTCGCTTTTCGCATGAGATCATGAATTATGAAAACCTCGTGTCTGTATTATCTGCCTCAGCCTTCGGCTTCGGTAGATAACACAGACTTCGGTTTTGATAATTCACGATATCATGCTCAACCTCATCCAATAATTGTTTAATAAAATCCCGAGAGGAAGTCGAGGGGATTATTCAACAATATTAACTGAGCCGGAGGTGAATAATTGTTTTAGTATATACACACGAAGTGATCTAACAGAATCAGAAAGGAAACCATGAAAAAAAAAAAAAAAAAAACGATTAGTTTGATTCACTGCCGCGGATGAATTCATGCGTGAACATGTAGCCGTAAACAGCAGATGCACAAAAGTTGGATCTTTACAGTATTTTCAAACATGGCAAATCATAGTTTTCATTTTTTTGTAAGCTTTAGCATCAATGATTGACAAGAAAACGTTGAAAGTTTAAATAACTTTCCTTTCTGAGAAGAAACACAGAGCTTTATTTGCTTCTGTCAAATCACCGTGAATGAGACAGTTTTTTTGTCGCTTCTTGCAAATGCTGTCAACGGCGGCTACGATCGAGGTGAGCGTTGTTTTATCTGCAGTGCAGTGTTCCTTGCCATGTTAACTTGCTGGCACGTACAGTTTTCGAAAATATTTGCTTTCCTTTTTTTCTCAATAAATTAACTTCTATTTCCAGGCAAAATTGGTTTTGCGAGAAAATCGCGAGTTCACAAAACAGTGACAAAGCGGCCTCCCCTTCCTCTGTGGTTGTCAATGAAAACATTACTTCGACCGTGTGAAAGTCAACTACAGTAAACCACTTCGCAATAAAATCACGCTGTTTAAACACCACAAAGTCTTTTCTTACCTTCAAAATCATCAATTCTGGGATATTCTTGTATTTTAAAAAAGTTCTTACTCTGGAACTTGGCAAAACACCCAGTTCACGACAGCGATTTTGTCAGTGCTTTATATTCACCGGCTAGCGCGGTGAATATAACGCCATAGTCCGAGATAGCGAATCAGTCAGATTGCTTGAATAACCAAGATCACTGAGTGTGTGTATACTAATTTACAATATTACTAAAATGAGATTAAAAACTGATTAAAATTATTAACAGCGAGAGTCCAAAACTAAAATTATTTGACTACCCATAATTGTATAATAAAAGGAACTAGGATCAACGGGTTGGTATACTGATTTCAAGACAATAACAGACCAATCCGAGCTGAATAATTACCTCGCTCATGTCACTCGTGATGCCTTGTGATGGAGCAACATGCAACCAGTGAATTGTAAGGACGTGATTTCCTTTTACTTTATCCATTCGCATCACCCATAATACATTTTTTTACCCCGCCCCCTCCCAATAAAAAACAAATTTTGCGTAAGAATTGTTTTCAATTTCTCCTGATGCACCTTGTTTGCACCTTTTTTCCCACCTAAACCACCTTTATTTTATAAGGGTAATTGGACAGTTCCCGCGAAATAAAATTTTATGCTGGAAACGCCGTTAAGACACTATGCTCCTTGTGTGGCTCGCTACCAGTTTACTTTAGCGCGTATTAACCAGAATTCATCACCTCTTAGGTAAACACTCTATCAGGCGTTGTTTGTTTATCGTTCAGACCTCGGGCAGAGATTATATCACTTTTTGCATTGCTTTACTTACAATTCTGCAGTTTTTCACAGAATAATCTTACAAGACTAATTATATAGCTGTTAGTTAATCTGACATTGTCAGCAAAGCTATTATCCTTTAATTTTTACGAACTGTCCAATTAAGGATTAATTTGGATAGTTTCAGATAGGGCTTTCCTTTACAAATAGGCAAACCGTCCAATTTAAAAAATAGGACAGCTGGTCTGAGCCAATCAAATGCCAGAAAATACAATAGACAATGTATACTACCCAGTCAGCGCAAAGTCCCTGTGAAAACGCGCCAAAAAAGGTTTTGTTGGCTGACGGCTGTTCTTCGGCGAACACTCTTGGCTTCTTGTTGCTGTGAACGTCGTTTTTTTTTTTGCTGCTGTTTTGTTTTCGTTTCTTGTCTGGGCCATTTAAAAGGAAAATGTATGACCAAATTGAAAGTTTGTATCGGAAACAATCAACGCATAGATTCTTGAAAATGTACTAGCACTGAAACTTAAGACAAGAATAAGCGGAAAATACTGATACTTGTGTTTAGATGTTGGCATTACAAAAACAAACGGACAAAGTCTGCGGAAATCGTTTGAGGTAATGAATGAAATGTTTATTTTCAATAGTTTTTGTATTTAAATTAAGTATTTGCGTTGTTTCTTTGTCTTTTTTATACTCGAAATTGCGGTTTTCACCTGTAGCACCATATCATTCAGATCATTGAAGAAGCTTTCAAAATTTTAATTGGCAACAAAATGCCAAAGTATGAGAGAGCAATACTAGTTCTACGTTTGTTTATTTGTATAGAAGAAGTTGAATGACACCAGAAGAATAAACCTTTTTGAGATATTGCAGTGTGTTTTTGTTTCTACTACAAACGGTTCGAGTGTGCAATATTTCGCGTCTGTGACAGGCTAAAAAATCTGGATTAACTAACTAGCTATATAATTAATAAGTAAGAGGACTACATGCTTGTCCACTTTGGAAATAATTGAACTCAAAAAATTCCTCTGACAGCCAAACTGGACTCGGCTTGCGGCCTCGTCCAGTTTTGGCTGTCCCCGGAATTTTTTTTTATCCAATTATGTCCAAATTGGACAGCATGTAGTCCTATTACATACAAATTGCACTCATTCAATATCCAGGACGACCGAAGCACGCGCTCCTTTGCACAGCAAATTATAAAAAATGACAACAACATAAATCTCGTATATAGATGGTTTTCACAGTGACGTCATCAAATTGTAAAGTCAAAATAGCGAGGTTTTACAAATTCTTATTTACACTAGGTTGAAGATAAACAAAAAGTTAATCTTTGTACAAGTTTTCAGTCCCATAGCATGTTTCATTTCGAAAATACAGCAATTTGAACTTCCGAGTTTTCAGAGTGCGTGACACCAAAATAGGAATGCTGTCTCGTTGAAAAAAAAGTCTCTCCTCCTGATTTTCAGTAGTATAACCATTTCAAGTATTAGAAGATATGTTTATGCGCACGTAGGCTAGTTCTCGAGTGAAAAGAAGGAGCTTTTATAGAACAAGTGAACTCCAGATGTTTTTGTTGATTTTCGGCGGCCATATTGGTGCACCAAAACTGTGCACCAATATGGCGTCTCCATACAAAGCTCTACAAAGATGCTTGAAACTTTTCGGCAAGTAACTCAGAAACTGTGGGCCAAAAAGACCTGAGACTTGGACAAATTGTTTAAAAATTAGTCTTTTATAACATATCATTTTCTTGGCTTCTTTCACGAGACGGTTTTCAATTTATTTTTTTGTTGCGTGACAGTGAAAACGATCTATATAAAGAATTCACTATTAGCGGGACTGTTTAGTCAGGTCAATCTGCCATTATGCAGTAAGAAGTGTAATAATGGGCTTTAAGCAAAAACTTTCGGAAAAAAATCTTATTTTACATTTCTGAATTTTGTCAAGCGCCAAACTTGCA